CATCTAAACATTTGGGCCATATATTTAGCCTATCTTAATGTTAATAGATTTATAATGATAAAAAATCAAACCTAGAATTTTCATCATTCTTCAGAGAATTCAACAGGGGGAAAATGGAGGAAGTAAAAACATGATTTAAAAAAACAAGAGATATTGCAACCAAGTGTTGAAATCGAAATACCAGATCATGAAAACCCAATACGAAATGAAAATCAAGTCTAGAATACGACCTATAACAAAAATCAAAATCAAATTAAAAAAGAGGATCATGAAGAGACCAAAACAATAATGGCAAAAACCCACCCAAATAGAGCGCCGAACTATGAGGCTCGGAGGAAGTGGCGCCTGGGAAAATCAAACCTTGTGGTGTCACCCTTGAGATTGAGAGGGAAAGTGAGACATAACGGCAAATATTTGCACTTTGGAACTTCAAATGAATTTTGTGTTGGTAAACAGGTTTTAGAACGGGTTCAAATGTACGGAGTAGGATTTAGTTTTGGTGTATAAACTAATGGAGTATAAAGTAGAGTGTAACTTTGAGTTATAAGGAGTACCTGACATCACTTTTGAAGGGCAAATTCTTTTGTGATTCTTAGGTCTATACTCATTTTAGGGAAAGGGATTAAATAAGGAGTAAAACATGGAGAAAGTACCAAAATAGAAGCTCCATATTTTTTATCTCCAAAATAGGAATACAATGCCAATAATGTCAATATATAGTACCAAAAAATACAGTGGGATGCCACTGTACAATGTCATAATGTCACAGTGCAAATTCTTATTTTTGGGATAATAACATCAGACTCCTAATCTCCTATTTTGAGGATAAATGTTATGTTTTACTACTATTTAGGGTGTTTTCTTCTCATTGTATTGATCTCCATACATAAAATAGTTTTATATATTGAGCCTTGTAAAAATTATAAGATCCAACTATGAACTCATAATAAAATATGTGAGAAAGTCCACATTTTACATGAGGACCTTAAGACCACGATAGCATAACCACTTTTGAAGATGTGATGCATTACACGAATGAATATATTAATAGAAAGATGCATAATGTCAAAAAAATGAATAGAGTATCAAGAAACTTGATATGAAGAGAGATATGTAGAAATTGTATTTGTAGTTCTACTTTTTGAGTTCTTATTTTGAGGTGAAGACCTGATAGTTGTAGAGTTATAGTTGTGAGACTGATATGCATCTATTTTGAAAGGTTAATTGCAAGACAAAGATTCTTACATTTTGCTAAACTTTTGTAAATCTTATATGGCGCTGAAAGGAAAGATGGTGATGCGAACAATTTAGGTTTTTTATGATGATAATGTTATGAGGATGCCATGGCATATACGAACCGATATCCTACATCTGTTTTCCTATAAAACCCTTAGAGCATGGAATATAGACAAGCTAACAAACCACCTCAACTTGTCCTAGAAGAGAGTTACCATCCTTAAATCCACTTTCTTCCCATCAATATACTTTTTGAGAGCACAATCTCTTGTTTTGTTTCAACAGTTATGAATTCTGCACCCAAAGAGGTCTTCAACCTTTTTGATCCTAAAATCCCGACTCAACCACCATGCTTACCTCCTCAATCACCACCGAACCAATGTAAAAGTTCATCTATTTGTGCTTTATATGTATTTCTCTACTTTTAGTATCTCCCGTCTCTTTTCATCTTTGCAGCTTGAGTCGAGGGTCTCTTGAAACAACCCCTCTACTTTCGAGCATGAGCAAGGTCTGCATACAAACACCCTCACCAGACCCTACCTTTGTGGATCCAACTAGGTTGTTGTTGTTGTATATTTGGGGGGGTAACATATAGTGTGATCCATAAAATTAAGTAAAAGTGTGATCCATAAAATTAAGTAAAAGTGTGATCCATACAATTAAGTAAAAGTGTGATCCATACACATTATTTTGAGCAATTCTATATTCCAACCAAGACTAATCATCAAACCAAGATGAAACAAAACTAAATCCTTTCAGTGAAATTCATAATTTTGGGGTGGAAATGTTCTTTTGAGATAACTACTAAATAATCTACTGTGTATTTCATTTTTCCCATTTGGAAGATAATCTATATTCAATTCACATGGATTGTCATTCAATGGGTTTTGCGTTCACTAATAGTTTGTTCTATCGATTGATTTAGAGAAGAATAAGCATTCGAATTCAGGATAGGGATCATCACTTGATTCGAGCTCTTAAATCTTGGCATCTTTTTGAAATAACTTTGCATCCTATAAAAATTCTAATAATTTAAAAATTTAAGAAGTCACCTTTAATTTGCACTTTACTAATTAAAATAGTACAAAACCTTAAACTTCATAATGTTCATATGAAAATTAATTTAATCACAATTGACAAATTTACAGTTCACAAATCCACGAATCACATATTTACACATCAAAAAAAAACTTTTAATTATCTAGAATAATTAAAAAGAAATAAAGAGTAATTAGGTTGATAGAACAAAATCCAAGAAGAAAAACCGATTTCAGATGGAGGAAATACCTAAAGCACTGAAGGCCGCGAGTTAAACAGCGTAGGCGGTTTTGGCCCGGGATATGGCGGGAGGCTGACCGCATACGGCGGAGCCTTGTCGGGATGCTGCGTGCGGCGTGCCTGTAGCGGTGGCGACTTTGATAGCGTAACCTCTGCTACTCCGCCCTAAATGAACAGCCTAACCATTTCTACTCTTATTTTTATTAAAATCAAATTACATTAAATACAATTAAATTAAATCAGATCAAAATTTATTTTTGTCAAATCAAGTCAAGAAAACAAGCCTTTAGTTTTAATTTTAAAAAACTTTTCAAACCAATGTCGTTTGGAGAAGTTATACTCGGTATATGAATACAAGTACGAAGTAACTAGTTCAAGTCAATTTACTTAGGAGTTGAGAACCAAATCATATTGCTCTGTGGCATGAACCAAAGTTAAGATTTTCAACCTAATCTAAAACTCGTTTATCCCAATTTTGAATCTGTTTTTAAATTTTCAAATTTTTCAAAGTAAATTCCTACAAAGACCTGAGGTTAATTTGGTTTATGGTGTTTATGGTGAACATACATATATATATGTTAAACAAGTACTTCGTACTTCATTAGTGTTGATATAAATATTTTTTAGAAAATATTATAAAATAATTGAGTGAAAAAATCCACAATGGTCTTAGGTCCACCATAAAACTTCTCTTCAAAAGAACGTCATGAGTATATTGGGTCAATGTGTAATTATTAATATAATTAGCCCAATATACTTGTTCTAGTTAATTAATTTGACACCAAGGTATTGACCCAAGGAGTGACCCGTGGGCTGATAGATGGGTTAAACCCATCCAGGCCAAAGGATGAGCTTAACGGGCTGGGCTGAATATAATTTAGATTAGTTAGTTGGGAAAAGATTTATCTAAGTTTTCTAAGAGAAGCCCAATAGCATTAAGTTGCTTAGATGTTATAAATACCCCAAAGAGTTTTGAATAGAGCGTAATTTTTTTCTTGTAACTCTTGAGTTCAATACTTTTGTCTCTTATTCAATATTGTTTGCATAATTACCGAGAAATTTACAAGAATAATAGTTGGTGAAGTTAAACTCCATCATTGGTGCTTTCATTGTGAGATGAGTGTAAATATTCAAACGTGTTCTTAAGCTTGGCAGGAAGAATCACTAAGAACATTAACAAGGCTAACGCACTGGGTTCAGAGATCTGATTTAGGAATGGTTCATAATTTGCTCACCGATTTTACAGGTGATTCGATAGAGACAAAGGGATAATTACCCTACATGTCGAGATTAGAAACACCCAAGTGGCTCGAGATATTGATATGGAGTTTGTTGTGGTAAAAAATAGTATGCAACACCAATTTAATCTTAAACCTACCCAATTTGAAAGATCTAGAGTGTCATCTCCGTGTAACATATCTATATGAAGTTTTTAACTACGAAAGGGGTTGGCATTGCCTGGGTGTCATAATTTGTCCCAGACTTGGTATGTTTATACTACCACTGAGACCGTGAAGCATGCCACCCAAATCAATAAGGTGAAAATCAAATATCTTAGAGTTGAAGAGAAACAACCTCAGGTGTATGTATCCTTTTGTCGGTGTCTATTCCACTTTTCTTGGCCCAAATTACAAGTTTTAATTAAAACCCTATTTTTTGGAATTGAAATTTCAGAATTAGATGTCAGAAGGAAATGGAAGAAATTAGGAGTTAAAAAATGGAAAGAATTGACAAATGTTGAAAGATTTAAAATGTTAAAAATTTACTCCATTAAATGTTCACCAAAATAAATATGTAAAGAAACTCTTATTTTAGATTTAAATAAACTCATCATTCTCCATGTTTGAGGTGGTATGTTATGCATTTAGATGTATAATGTTATATTATATTCATCATATATAAATATCATTTTTAAATTCTTATTAGAAAAACTTGAAAAATTGAAGAAAACCAGAAAGAATTAGAAGAAATACGAAGCAATTAAAAAAATTAGAAGTAATTTTTCCAACTCATAAGAATGAGCCTAAAACATACAATAGACATTTGAGTTTCATTAATGATTTTGCTCATTCTTAAATGGATGTATGATCTCCCAAGCAAAACAAATATTTCGATAAATTTTAAGTAGAAAATGGCCAATATGTAAATGGGAATTTGATTCTCAAAGCTAACTTGTTAAATACAAGAAATGACTGGGTCAATGGAAGAGTTTGTCGCACATATGATTATTAATCTCTAATGCAACTGACAAAATTCAAAAGATAAAAAAACATATTCAACCCCTAATGATCATTAACTGATTATTAATACCTATTTGTTCATTGGAATGGAGTATGTTTTACACACTTTTAAAAACTTAATATCCTATTATGAAAGAATGGCTAAATTCATCAAATTTTCAATCTACAAATTCCAAAATGCCAATAATATCATATGGAAACACAGTTTGATACACAATGGGTATATTTACACTGGATTGTAAGCCAACAAAACTCAGACAACCAAATTATTTATGAGGCATAGCCCATATAATCTAAAAAAAATGTAAACCCCTAACATGTCTACTATTGCAGATTTAGTCCTATAAATAAACACCCTCCTACCCAAACATGCCATGAGGGTTTGGGGGCCATGCTTCTATTCTACTATCAGAAATACATCCCATGAAATAGAACAAGCTAAGGTTAAGTTAAGCAGTTGGATGAGTGCCTACCCATATGCAGATTCCATAACCATTACTAGAAAACTCACCTAAAAGCAATAGGATCTGAGCCCGAAGTCACTACGAACAGAGTAACTGTCACTGCTGCCACCTGGAGTATGTATATCGCCACTTCTATCGAACTCGACACGAATGGCTTAAATTTAGTTACTTTCAGTTGCTAATTTGGAGTGGGGTTTTCTTCTATTCTGCCTCCAAAGATTGATCCTCCCACCTCTCTCGTAAACCAACACAGGTAGAGAGTCACTCTTCACAAGAATCTTTCTTTCGCCAAGACGTGAGTATAAAGAATCGTTAACTATGAATGACCACTTGCGGTGGAAGCAATTGTTGGATTTGTTTTAAGATATTTTCTATCCACGTCTCACCTCCAGCTTGAAGCAACGAGTTTCTTTTTGCTTCTTTTTAGTATTGCAGACAAGTGTTCAACAGTTTCCTGGGAAGATTGGGTATCTCCAGTTAGCCACTGAACAGCTTTGGCAGCAGCAGCCTTTTCTGCTTCTTTCTTACTACGGCATGGATGGCCAACAAAATCCAAACCATTGAACATTACCGTTGCTCGAAACAGATCATTGTTTAATTCCCTGGTTTTATAAATGGGAGCTCCGTGTCCATCTCGAGCAAGCAACGTTTGGAGATGAGACTTCGGGTTGTCACCGCCATTGCCCTTACTTGAAATGGGACCGGCCTCAAAATTTCCCTTTCTTGAAGTAGTGCTTGCCTCACCATCTTGTTTGGATTTGATGGCAGTAAACCACTGAACAGCTTCGGCAGCAGCAGTCTTTTCTGCTTCTTTCTTACAACGGCATGGATGGCCAACAAATTGCATACCATTGAACATTACCGCAGCTCGGAACTGATTATTATTTAGTTGCTTTGTTTTATAAATGGGAGCTTCATATCCAGCTCGAGCAAGCAAAGTTTGGAGTTGAGACTTTGGGTTGTCACCACCGCTGCCCCTTTTTGAAACAGCGCCTGCCTCAACATCTCGTTTGGATTTGATGGCAGACTCTTGTTTATTATTACGGCCAAACACAAATCTACCTTCACATGCATCCTCTGAAACCAGCATTCTTACTGCTGACATTAGCTCATCATGATTGCCTATGTCTATTTTTGGATTCAGAAGCTGCACAACAACCCAAGAGAAGAAAAACAATAGTTTATCATTGGGCCATTTCAACATATACAAGAGGCTGCATGGAACTTGCTCATGCATTCATGTAAAGGACGAACAGAGGGACAAAATAAAAAGGATGCAACTGACTCGTCCAGTGTAACACAGTTAATAGATGTCAAAAAATAATACCTGAGAAACATATTTTACACAAAAAACACACATAGCCAATCTTACACATACCTTTTCATGGATTAGCTCATCAAGTTCTCTCTTCAGTCTTGCATATGTGGTTGCTAGAGTGGGTTTCATGAAAAACTCCAGGTATCCTCCCAGCATTTTTAAGTGCCCATGCTGTGAAAGAGAGTATTTAGTGGAAAGGTAGAGGCTCATTGGCCATTGCATATGCATATATTTGCATTAAACCTCATTTAAGTGATTTTATATGGTAGACTAAAATTCCTACAAAGAACAACAACACCCCAGTTGGATCCCACGAAAGTACGGTCTTGAGAGGGTGTGTGTATGCAGACCTTGCCCCTACTCGAAAGTAGAGAGGCTCTTGCCAAGAGACCCCTCACTCAATAAAGCAGATAAAGCACAAATAAAGCACCAAGAACCCAGAGGTAAAGAACAAACCACTAATACTACAAGGCATACCAAGCACACAAGTACAGAAAACTACCCCCTAGCTAAAGGCGCCTACCCAACTACTCTAACCCAAGCTCTCCAAATGCTCTTATCTAAGGTCATATCCTCAGTAAGGGCAAGAAGTCCTAAGTCTAGTCCAATCACCTCCTTCCAATTCTTCTTAGTTGTAACCCTTCCCCTACTCCCCCACACCGGCGTAAGCCTCTCGCATCTCCGTACTGGAGCATCAACATTCCGCCATCTCACAAAGAACATTTCAATTTCAATTCCTACAAAGAACATTTCAATTTTACTTTCTTTAGTAGATATGTTTAGGGAGTGGGAGATAACTTACTGTACTGCCTTCTGAAATATTTCCCCCAAATAAAATAACCATCGAATCAGAAACAGCTGTAGAATCACGGAGGAAGACGGCATGAACTTTCACTTTTTCATTGAACACGAGCCATGGGTATGGAATTCTAGGCTCAACGGAATTCACAGAATTCTGTTAAAGAGAATAAAAAACACACTATTAAATTAGAGATTTTGATAGAAGAAATTAATCTGTTTGCGATAAAAACACAATCACTTCACCGAGTGCAAGAGAACGGCTCCATCATCCAATGTTTTCAATGATATTGACCTCTTCTTGTTCTGTTAAATAAATCCATCAGTTATTAATTGCAGTAACTACAGAGTACAGATATAGAGATTTCTAAAGACTTATCCACTATGAAAGGAAAGTTGGCCAAGAAATGCAAGCATTTGGATATATCAACAACATCAAATACTTGAACAAATCAGCAAGAACAAAACACTCTTGACAAACAATATAGTGGAATAATTAAATAAGTCTCCATTGATGTCCAAACATAAATAACAAGCTTTAAGCTATCTAGAGACTAAGAGGACTACTGACCACAACAGAACATATTCCAGGGAATAGACCAGCACAGAGAACTGCTCGAACAAGGTGTTCATCATGACTCCACATGTTGCAACTTTCGACACCACCAACTAAACCAGTGTCCTTGAGCAGGTAGCTAAATTGCTTCCGAAGAGAATCAATGGCTTTAAGAGTTTGTTGAGAGAGAAAATTCTTCCAACAGTATTCATAACCAGACTGGTTCCTCTCAGCATCTTTCCAGCCTTCATAAGCACGGACAAGAGTGAGGTGGTCACTGAAGTCACGGGCAGAAAACTGGGATTTTGCTGATTCAGCAAGCTGCAACAAGTCATCAACCACTATGAAGTTCATGTCACTCAAACACAGCAAATGTTAACAACTCGCATGTTGACTTGAGCAACAAAGTGATTACAAGTTAAACTCAACTTGGCTGTGAAAAAACTCAATCACTTGATTTTAGGATTTAGTCCATACTACACATTGCAATATACTACCTCCGTCCCACTCTCTTTGTCCACTTTTGACTTTTGGAACTGTTCATCTAAGCACTTTGACTCATCAAATTCTCTCAATGTGTAAGCCTAAATATAGTCATGTGTGATCTTGTTTGATTTGTCTTAACATATAGATTATTAATATATAATTTCTATAATTTTTTAATATACAAATTACAAGATAAAATGCAGAAAATTACTCACGGGTGACGCGAATTTTGTTGAAATAACTCTCAGGTCCCTCTATTTTCAAAAAGACAACAGAGGTCCTTACATTTTATTGTAATGACTGGAAGGGGACATTTCATCCAATATTTCATCTATAAACGTTAATAAATGTATTTTTTTCCTATTCTATTCTAAATGTTTTAAGGTAATAAATCTTAGGTCGCTCCTTTTTTTATTTCTTTGTTTTTCTTTCATTTTGTTACTATTTTTTTAAAGTGTTATTTTAGAATTTCTTCTATAAAATCGTATAAAAACTCAAAATTGTTTGTATTATATTAAAACAAATGAAATAAAAAAATTTTAAAAAAAGAAAAAACAAGGTAATGGCAAAATAGGAAAAAAAAGTATTGGAAAAATAGGAAAAAAATTCATTTATTAACACTTACGGATGATGTATTGGATGAAATGTCCCCTCTCAGTCATTACAACAAAATATAAGGACCTTGGTTGTCTTTTTGAAAATAGAAGGACCTAAAAGTTATTTCCACAAAACTCGCGTCACCCGCGAGTAATTTTCTGGATAAAATGGATTAAAGAAATGCATTGGATGGTGCGCCAAAAGGTAAGTGGACAAAGAGAGTGGGACGGAGGGAGTAGATGTTTTAGGTGCTTTGGTGGATTCCTCCTTTCCCAACGTCAAACTTTTCCTTGTTTGAATTAATAGTCTTGCCTATGATGTTTGGTAGTTGGATTTTGCTGTTTGAGTTGTTGAGGGTTGGCGGGTTCAAATGGTGAAGTAGAGGCTGCTCCAGTGTTTTTACTTTTAACTGTGTAACGTTGGAGGCATGAGGTAGAGGTTTTAATCAGTTTAAGGTTGTAGGCATGAGATTTACTGGTGATAATTAGATTTAGTTGAATCGCTCAGAACAGTTTTATTCGAGCGGTGCAGAAGCAAATTGTTAAGTTTGTCTTCTTATGTAATCTTTAATATGTTGTGCAGGAAATTTTGAAGGCCTTAGTTGAAAAATTTCTTAATGTGTTGTGCCGGAATATTCTTAGACCCCCATGAGCCTTCCCCAAGACCCGTGGAGGGAAAATCTGACTATGATCTCAATATAGTCTTCAGTTGTTCAGGTTCCTGCTCTTTGTTCCAGCCCTACCTCCCAGGACCATAATCCTTTCCCAACACATAAGTATTGATACCTGATCTGCCTGGGATTCAAACACCCGACATGGCACACAATCATGTTTCTCCCAACAACTTGAGCTACTCCAGAGGGCCCCCAACAGCATCCTTTGTATTATGGATAGGGTGTTTGACAAGTTGGAGTGGTCCAATGATAAGTTGGTAACCACTAACCACTCACACACATCAAACTCTCACCTTGTGAGAGATCTTGAGTTTGAGTCACTGTGTAGGCATTTTCACTAACAAAATGAACTCACTAAACAGTTGAGAATTCGAATCTACTTCCGTAGTGTTATACCCGGGCCTGGCCCTATCATACCCTCCCCCATGTCCTACACCCTCGCAAAAACCAAAGGACTTACGTTCAAACATTATGATCCGTTTTAGTGAGAATTCCAGGTCCTTCAACCAGAGAGGCCTGAATAACTTCGGACCCAAGGTTTCCACAGACCAAATCCCACTCCGTCCAACCCAACCCTAAACATCCAAAACTCCTTGCCATTTAATTCATTTCAAAATAAAGCTTTTCCTACTCTTATTTTAGCCCTGGCAGAAAATAAGTGTGTAAAATAAAACCTTTTGTTTGTTGTTATTTTCCTTCTTTTAAGCCTTTTATTAAACAAATAAAGCCCTCCCTTTATTCCATTCATCCCCTGGACAAAATACACTTCACAACCACAACACAACACCCAAAAAGAGCCAAAATCCTGACCCACCACAAACCACTAATCCCTGCCCATGTTCCCCCACAAATAACCCAAACCTATATGTCCAAAACCACCCCTAATATTGCCCAG